GCTATGTTATGTTTACGTTTAATACGTTATTTAACAATTTGTACAGTTTTGAAGAGGCTAAAATAGAATAAAAACGAAATAAACTGAATTAATATATAGGAAACAGATGCATAACTGTGCAACAAATTTACTTGCCGAAGAAGATGTGACATCGTGGAAGAGTGTCTAAGGGAAAATGAGAGTTGCTTCTCATAAAGGCCTTTAAAACTACACAGAATTAATGCAGTCCATTTGTGAGACAATATAATTTTTAGTGGCTTGTCAAGTTTCCAAATGGTGTTATTTGAAGAAATAGCTGTAGTTTTTCGTAAGAAATGTTGGAGTATGATGACAAGATTTTTTTTGCAGTATTTTAAATATAAAATGACTATGGCACTTCTTACAAAACCCTACACAGAATTTCATCAATAAAATCAAACTGGACAAATTTCATCAATAAAAATGTGCTGTTACGCATAAAATAATAAAAAAAATAAACTTTTAATAAAATGCACTTTTAAAGGATTTGAATCGTCTAGCTTTGTCATGCCCCCTATGACAGCAGAGGACAAAGATTTCATGAAAACGTTCATGAAATAGTCTACTTACTGTGTCCCTTAAATAGTTCAAATGCAGCATCCATGATAAATGGTTTTCTGTAAGGAGACCTAAGTATCTGAATTCAGCAGCAAATTTAGTACACAAACTGAAAGGTTTTAGGATAGCAGCTTTCTTTCAGAATGTTTCCTTTCTTATAGAAGTTGGCGAAAATATAGGAATATAGAAAGCAAAAATAATAACTTAACTAATTAATTAAAATAATTGAAAAATATTAATATAATATATTAATATTTTTAAAATATTGAGTATAAACAAACATTGTGAGAGAAACGAAAAGCTAGTTCGTATATAATATACATCCTTAAAAATATGTTTTGCTGTCGTTAAACATACACAGGACATTTCAAAAACATTGCATAAAAATACCTCTTGAGCGTTGGACATGTGCACATCGTTTCAGTTAAGAAATGAATCAAATAAAATGCATTTACAAACTATGAAAATTTCGGTCACATGACTCCTTTTAGTAAAATATACAAAATTGATTTTTTATATCCAGCTCACTACGAGGAAAGTTAGGATTAGTAAGTTGTATTTTAGTTATCTAACTATCCTCTAGACAAACAAAAAGATACACAATATGAAAAATTCATCCAGAAAAAAAATTAACTTAATTAATTAAAATTTACCGATTTTTATCTGGACAAACGAAGGTTTCGGAGGTAATAGCATTTTTGCTGGACGGACCTTGAATCTCATAATTAATACTGCGTACTTTTGTTATATAGGAAGTATGAAAACTGTAGAGGCTTATGTAAAATGTAAAATTAGAAAAACAAAAACAGCGCTTGATAAATTCAAATTTTATACAAAATTTTATTGTTTTACATTCCTTTTCTTTTTAGTTCAATCCTAAAAACAAATGCTATTCCTGACTCCTCTGCCTTCCGGATGACAAATCTACATTAATTGCTATCGAAATTCATAGTATTTGTATACAAAATCATTTGAAAATCAAACTTTTGCAAAATGCTTATGCTATTTCCAAAATACTTAATTTATAATAATCCAGGTACTTGTCAAGGTAAAAGATGAATTTTCTTCGCCTTCTTCAGCTCGACTATGGGAAAGATTTTTTTTCTTTCTGCAACTATTCATTACTGTCACAAGATCCATACGAATATTTAAGTTTCGCATGTGAGTTTACTAAAACGTGTTTTGTTTTTTATGTCGGCGTTTTTTGGAATCAGCGTTTTGAATTAAAATGATGGTAAATAAAATTAATTTCAAATTTATGCTAAAATGCTCCACTTGACCATAGTTTGAAAAATTCTTTCTTAAAAATCGAAAACATGGATATACGAATAACCATTCAAATAGATGTCCAATCTTAAGAACATCTAAGAACAGTATGCTTTTAAACTTAAAAGAAACTATTCTTATCCATAAGTAAGCATAAACTAATACAATTTATCTTAATACATACCATACTCTTTAAAATTATCAAACGCATTAAAATGCATAGTGGAAAATATATTTAAAAATATATTTGAAAAACAGCGTTTAATGAAATTCTAACTCACTTTATTGTGTGATTGATTATTCATGCATTTATATATTGCATTTCAAATATCGCGGGTAGTTTTAAGTCATTATTCATTTTAGACGCATATGAAATATTTCTAGGTAATTCAACAAAATGTACAATTTGTTTAAAACTGTCAGCATCATTCTTTATTAAAATGCAGGGAAGACTATATCGAAAGAAAATGGCCATAAGCAATAAAAATATTTTTAAAAAGAGAAAAAGGAACAGTAAGACTGAATACAGTTGTCTCTCATCAATTTATCGACTAATGTATATTTTTAAATTGATATACCAAATACTTTCGGAATGGGGCTGGAAAATTTTCTGATTTTATGTTTCAGATGTTTCAGATTCGCTAGAAAAATAAAAAAATGAAGTTAGATGTCTTATTTTAACAAAATAAATAAATAAATAAATAAAATAAATAACTGTAATTTATGATATAATCATATAAGGAAGTAATACTTTAATTGACTATAATATACATTCGAATAAAAGTGAGTAAATTTGAAATCTGAAATTTTGATTGAAAATTTGAGAAAATCTGAAAGGCTTCACATTTTAACGGCTGCCCAAAAGGTAAGGTTTTTTTAACACTCTCGCTGAGCTTGCAATCTACTAGTCTGCTATTACACTGGACTCCTAACCCATTTCTTTTTTTATCTTTTTAGCTTTATCATTAAGTATCATTTTCTTCACTCTTACGCCACACACAATTCAACAGCAAAATTCCAAAAATTTTAAAAGCAGCTTACCAGTATACGCTTAGAATTCCCGACGCAATAAAGTATTTGCATACATTTTTCTGCTCTTTTCAGTCTTTCCTCAGTTCATCATATTAATGCTTAGTTTTCTTACTACGATGCCTTTACGAAACAATTTTTTTGTCTTTTTATTATTAATGTTTTTGTGTTTCTTTATTTATTAAATATCACATTTTTATCTCTTGTGGAACACAAAATTCAACCAACAACAAAATCACAAAGTATTTAAAAACAGCATATCTTTATAGTTTTCGATAGATAGTCTCGCTTGCAGAAGATAAATATGTTTTATTCCCTACAGTGTTTCCATTGCTCGCTTTGAGATCTGTGGGTTTGTTAATGAAAAATTCGTTAATTTTTACAAAATATGAATAGATAATAAAACAAATTCGAAATTTAAATTTCAGGCTTTCAGGTGCCCATGTTTGGATGGAAGACTATATTATTCAAAACTGGATGGCTCTAGCTATCTTTAGTTTTATACAGTTCGAGAAAGATACATACATTCATATTCTTCTTTTTTTTAATTTCTTTAATTATAATACAGAGTAATAATATTTAGTGATTACAATTTGAAAACTTATACTCCATTTATAGTGATTCAACACAAAATACCGTTCCGAGACTAACATCTCACTCACGAAAACATCCCTTTTGGGCTAAAAAGTGCCGTTTCAAAACTGATAACCCATAAAAAGTAATGCTTTTAGTTTATTATGTAATCTTTTTAGAAAGTAATACTCTAATTAAATATAAAATACATTCGAATAAAATTCAGAACATTTTAAATAATCATCGCATCCTAAAATGTGGATGCTTTAAATGTCTTAAAGATGCATAAGTAATAAATTTGCATTATTTTATTGTTAATTTTATGAATTATTTAAAAGATAAGTGCCTTTAAATTAGGCAAGCTATAAGCACTCTGTGCAGACACTGCGTATTAAATAAATTTTTTTTAAAAATAATGTGTTATCATATGACTAAAATTCGTCCTTTGTATTATTTTTTATGTTGATGCACATCAACATGAAAAATATGTTCATTATTTACTAACTGATTAATTACATCATCAGTTAGTTAATCTTCTGTATTTTCCCCCGACATTTCAGAATTACAAACATGAGGAGAGTTTCACTAGGACTGGCTCTAAAGTTAAAATATGAAAAATACTTTGAATTTGAAAGAATAATATTAAATAAAATTATTAGGACATGTTGGTCATATACCTGAGAACCAAGTAAATATTAAGTTAAGTTAAGGTATATTGTCAAGGCTATATGGTTTTGAATGAAATATCATTACTAAACCACAACTAACATATACGTTCTAAAATATATGCTTAGTGAGGTATCTCATGCTCTATCTAAATGTAAAGTCGTTATGTAATTTATAGGTCGGGGCATGAGTATTTATTTAAACAACAAATTATTAAGTTTTTTGTTTCTATTACAAGTCCGATTAATTATTTTTTTTCGACTTTTTGTTTTATTTCTTTAATTTATTTATTAAAACGAACTATATCCATTATGGTTTTCCTTATTTGATATCGTTATTAAATAAACTTCAACACTGTGCAATTCCTTAAATTTACAGCAGGCAAAATCAAAATCAGTCATAAGACTAAAGATGAATAAGTCCCTAAAAGCCAGAAACGTAATACTTTTTAAATAGAAGATAGGCGCTAAAGTAAATACATCTGATGAAATTTAAGTGGGCAAAACTATAATCTACACTGAGTAAAATTAGTTAACCCGAACATTTTAGTTCATTTCATTTAAAGTAACCTAATAAACATATTGTATATACATTTAAACTTAATGCGAGTTCCATTTAATCAGAAGTTTTTCCCATAAGCCTTCACATAATATTTCCCCATAACCCTTCACATAATATTTATTAATTAGTTATAAATATTTATGGTCGAAAGGCAAAATCGTTTTGATTGGACAGTCATAAATGAACTGAAATCAGTCCTTCCGAAATAATATACCCACCTCATCCTCTAATGATAAGCAGCTTGGCGTTTTTTCGTGCCGTGTTGGCGGCAATGATGCCAAGCGCGCGGAGCTGGCAACCCTGGGCAAAAGTCTCCGAATATAAGAAAGCGTGTATCCTGGAATTCCAACTCTTGACCATTATATCCCGTATTTCCATCTTCAGAGAATCCTGGTCCTGAATACCTTTGAAGAAGAGACTCTGAATACAGAAACGTATCCCTTTACAAGAGGTAAGTGAAGTTTATATTCACCTGCATATATTGTTGTTAAGTTTTTTGAAGTTTTTAAAGAAGCGCAGAGTGATCTTAAAGTGTTTTTTGTGTTTTAGTGGTTTAAATTTTCTAATCATTTGTGAATAACGTGTCTGAAAATTTACTTAATCATAATTTTGTCTGAAAAAAGTCTCTTCTTTATTTATGGAATATCATCAATTTATTTCAAACTAAACAGAGGGCATCAGAAACAATGTTTTTTCGAAAGAGTGTAAAAATGTATTTTCTAATTCTAATTAAATCACATTTTAAATGGAACATACTTGAACTGAAATTTGAATGAATCAAAAATGGCTAGTAAGAATTGCTGAAAATTAAGGATTTGAGATTGAACTCCATTTATAAAAGTAGCGCCTTAAAATTCAAACTAACCTGCATTTTTAGGCTGAGTGTTTTGAAGAAAAAACAAAAAATAAATACATGTTAAGCAAATATTTTGTTCGACATAGGCATTCATCAATTTAAAAAATATGTTTCACGTTCCATTCAGGAAAATGCATGGAAATATTACATCTTTACACATTATTATGCATTAATGAAAAAACTACGAGAACGTAATTGATTTATTGATTTAAATTTCACATACTTCGGAATGGATTTGAAAAATGGCATGTGCTTATTGCAACGATTGTAAATGTCGAATTCATATTCATTGTATCGATTGTCGACAAATCTACAGATATTTCTGGTTTAATATGTAATTTATTCTTATGTATGTTATAAGTTAATTGACAAAAATTAACTGTTCCTAAGACAAATATCTTCTTTAGCTACATAAAAAATCAAAACAAATTTAAAGTATACTTAAAAACACAGTTGCTTCTTATTTTAATTATTCTGTTCTTCTGAAAATATTCCACCAATGTCAAAGGCAGTTTTACACTAAGAGCTGAAGACATTATCCTGTGGGCTGGCTATATTTTTCAAAGGAAAAAGCGCATTTCATAGAAATTTAAGTTAACTTTTACAGAGCAAGGATGGATACTTTTCCAAGAAACGAATCTTTCAATATTTTACCTTATTATGACATGTTTCCATGAACAGTATCCGTGACCTTTATGTATCCTACATAATGACCTTTTCCAACATGATTCTTGTATTTTCAGTAGTTTGCAGCTGCGCATTGCACAACCATATTAAATTGTCATCCATTTACCTGTTGAAAGAAATAGATTTATTTATGTTTTACATATTTTGAAGTGGAAATTATATATAAGGAAAAATAACATTTTATTTCAGAAAACTGAAATTAATATCTTTGTATTTTTAACTTACATTTAAGTTTTGTTTATTTTAAATATCTGTAAAATAAAAACGTATTTTGGCATTTAATAATGTAGAACTTAGTCACATTCTGTAGCGGTGAAGAAGATTTTGAGTATTTTATGTTCGTCGTTTCCAAAAAATGAATATATTTCACTCTACTTTGAAACACCTGCGAACATCTTGGCCACCAGTTTATAAGCTTCAAAACAAAAAAAAAAAAAAAAAAAAAAAAAACAAAAACAAAAAAAAAAAAAAAAAAAAAAACAAAAAAAAAAAAAAAAAAAAAAAAACCAGTTTATAAGCTTCAAGAGACTAACAAGACAATTAAAACAAGACATTTTAAATTTTCTTACCAGTTTATTTTTTAAAGGATTTTATGTTAAATCAAATCAATGATTTTGATATTTTTCTTACAAATAAACATTTTCTAATTATGTTTCAAATGTGTTAGGATTCTGTAAATGTTTTATTCTTTTGTCTTAACTTCTTACTCTAAGCCTGTGATATATTTCGCGGAAAATGAGAAAAGAAAATCCTGCTTAGAAGAAGAGATTATTAATTCAATGCTTTATTATTTAAAATATAGTACAGCATTAATTTAATCACCCATTCATCTTTAAAAGCCAAGTTTGCCATTCAATAGTTAAAATCCTGTCCAAGAATTAGACATTAATCATACGTAATAGATGTTATATTTGTGAACGCTACATTTTTATTGGGAAAAAATCTATGAAATCATCGAAAATTCTCATAACGTTAATCTTGTAATTAAAACAAAATGAAAAGCATGAAGTAAAAGCAAGCAGAACATTTAGAATATTAAAAAGTACATTTAGAATAATGTAAGAAATTCGATCTTTAGCAAGTCTACAATAACTAACAGTTATTAGCTGATACTATTAGATCACAATTATTAGTTGATACGGTTACCTGATGCTATTTATTAGCTAAACAATCTATTAGATGATGCTATCTTTTTTATTAGCTAAAGAATCTTTAGCTGATTCTCTTTTAGGAAATCCAAGACCAGGTTCAAGATCTTCCTCTATAATAAAACATTTATAAGTGTGTGTGTGATTATGTCAAAGTTTCGAGGACTATCTGCCTAAAGGGAGGGATGCCTTTGTGAAGAACTTTCTAAGGAAAACTGCCTCGTATACACCTTACACATGGGGAAAGTCACGAAAACGCCCATGCAGCCAGCCCGTTCGCGGGATTCGAACCTCGGACCGAACTACTAGTGTTCAGCGAATTTACCGCTCGGCCACTGGTAGACTAAAACATTTATAAAAAAAATGATTTGGGGAATCTTGTTCGGTATGGCATTTTAAGCAAGATAAAAAAAATTTTTTTGGACTTCGCAGGACAAAATTCTATCATAGCACATGATATTTCAATAAATGTTTATATTTTTCAGCTGTTTCGGAAACGATTGTTGTGTACATTTCGAGGAAGTTCAGAAACATTCATTTGTAGCATTTATTTTTAAAAATCCAGCATCTTAATGTTTATAATTGTTTTACTGATATGTTTTATCTATTTCACGTAGGCAATTAGTTAATGAAATCTTCTAGTTTAATCTGGACTGTTTTTACTAAAAGGTTCTTAATCTAATAATAGTTGCAAAAAGGTTTAAAACAATAAGCATAATATGAATTTTGTGAGGCTGAATTTAAATATCATATTTACAGAACCAATCGAATTTACTTATTCGAAGTGTGTGTTGATTTAAAAATTTTTTGAAGAGAAACAAATGTCATCATTACTTTTTCATATTTTATTACTATTAAAAAGATGAAACACATGATCTTTAATTAACAATAAGTCATAAAATAAATAATAGTAAAAGTATAACAGAATGCAGTAAAGTATGGTAGCAGCAAGGTTCGAGTGTCATAATTAACGCAACTTGCAACAATCATTGCAAGCAATTTCTCTGGTAATAATATAGCATCTCTTGAAAGCAGAATAGGGCAGGAAATCGGTAACTAGACAAAACAAAATTCCTGCTTTGTTTTATTTTATTCTTTCTATTTTAGGATAATGCATTTAGTTACCGCAGAATATAATAGTGAAAGAAATACGATCCACTATGAATGAGTATTAGTTTCCATGTTTGAATATAACTCTAAAGACTTAAAATTTGGCTCAACAAAATCTTCCATTACAGCAGGCGTTTATAGGATCGAATTTAAAAGAGACTCAAGTAATGCTTCTATAAAGCAGTGAAATAAATTATAACCAGGCGTAATGAATTTGGCAGGATATAAAGTATAAGTCATAGTTTGTGGATATTATGCATTAAAATATTAGCATATATAATTAATTAATACTACAATAGTAAATAGTATTAAGTAATAGGTATGCCACCGCAGAAAATAAACAGTGATATTTTACGGAAGCAGAGTATATAAAATATTTTATTCCTCCTTTCCGCATGCCTTCGTGGTGTAATTGGAAGCATACTCGAAGCGCTTTCAAGAGGTCCAGATTTTAAGATCTCGCAAGGGCACTGCACATTTTTCACGTAGGCAATTAACTGTCAGCATAGTTTTCACTGGAACACTGTTTCATAGTTTCACTGTTATTTTTATGCAATTTCTTGCATAAAAAAAACTGATGGTTCTACAAACTATAATAATGAATTCACAGATGTTTATGTTCTCCAACATGACCACTTTCATAAAGAGGGAAATACTTTTGAACAGTTAGCGATTGTCTTTGGAGTGTTTTGCAACATACAGCCTTTCTTACATTTAGCTCATATATGAGACGATTGTTGCTATATAATCTTCCAACACAGGTATTAACTTAACGATGGATAACTTTCGCGTATTTTGCAACAGTCACTTTATTATATAACTGAATATTATCAGAAGCTGGTGACTGAAATTGAAAATATTCAGTAAAAATCAGTCGTCTCAGCATTTTGGAAATATTTTGCGTTCAGTTAACGGTTAACTAGGTAGATACTATTTAATTATATTTGAATACCATGAGATTATTGTGAGAGATCTATTTGTACAGGACTTCCTAATGAAAACTCCAGAGAGTTTAATTTTCATGTAGGGAAAGTTTCAGCATGCCATGCAGTTCAGCTTAAAGCAGTAAATGTTCAGCTCAAAGCTTAAAGCAGTAAGTTCAGCTTAAAGCAGTAAATAATACGCACATTTTTATAGTACGTTCAGCAGACTCGTCCTTTAAAACATCATTACTTATTCTAATACCTTTCCAAAATCAGAATTAATAAATCAAAATATTCTCTATTTGCTTTTAAATCGGCTTGAAACATAACTCAATTTTTCAAGAACTACAGTTTACATTAGTTACGCATGATTAAATACTCAATCATATGTAAAGCAGTATCTTTTCTGGAACTATTACTAGTCTCATAGCTTTGTGTATTTGAAATTTACTTTGTATACTCATCAGGTCATTGGAAGCCAAAACAACGGCAAATGTTATATGCTAATGGATGAATTCAGCTTATAATCATATATTTTAGCATTTGATGTAATGTATAAAAGCCGTCAAATTATTCTTTATTTCCCCATCTGCAGCTATACTTTGCTCAATATGAAAATTATTCCTCTGCATGGTACATAAGGCAAGAATTATCGCATTCCCCCATTCTCTTTTGGTATAAGTGATTTGGTTTGTTTATTTGATTAATGGCAAAGCGCATGAGGGCT